TAGCGGCGTGGTATATTGTCACGACGATGCTGACGATAGCACCAGCCATGTCCGCCGCTGGCACTGCCGCTACAATTGTGACTCCGGTGGTGTGGGCCGACGTGAACTGTTGCGCACTGCTGTGAATGACGACCAGAGGCCTTGCTCGAAAACACCGGGACACACCGGGGACTCCCGACTCCCGCCCGACTCCCAGTGGTAGAGGGGGCCCGCGGCCTGCGCCCGCCGAAGCGACCCCCCCCCCTGCGCTGGAAGAAGCTCGCGGCACAGCCGCGGGGACAGCCGCCGGGGCAGCCGCCGGGGGGGGCAGCCGCGGGGGCAGCCGCGGGGCAGCCGCGGGAGAGCCGCGGGGCCGCCGGAGCAGAGCGGGCCGCTGGGCGGCAGAGCCGCGGGGCGCCGCGGGACAGCCGCGGGGCGCCGCGGGGCAGCGGCGGGGCAGCGGCGGGACAGCGGAGGGACAGCTGAGGGACAGCGGAGGGAAGCTGAGGGGCCGGGTTGGGGGTCATCCACGGCTCAGGTGACGAGGAGCGGGAGCAGGAGGGAAAAGGGAAGAGGAGGGGGAAGGGGGGGGGAGGAGGAGGAGGAGCAGGAGGAAGAGGGGGAGGAGGAGGAGGAGGAGGAGGAGGAGGAGGAGGAGGAGGAGGAGGAGGAAACGGGAGGAGTGGGATGGGGGAGAAGAGCGGAGGGAGGAGGCCGCATGGACGACGAAGGAGGGACGAGGGAGGAGGGATGAAAACGGAGGGGGGAAGGACAAATGAAAAGGGAAGAATGATAGTGGGATATGTGAGGAAATGGACATGAGGATGGCGGCTGTGTTCTACGACAAAACATCCTATGGCCTGTCAAATTGCGCGTGGGCCGCTGGCCCTGTTGTTAGTGACCGACAAGACATGGCAAACGCGCAATTGGATGAAGCCTACGCCATGACAGAAACACAGACGATGAGGAGGGAGGGGAGGTGATGTTGATGTGTGCTCTCAGCCAAACTGGCCACACCACACTCTTGCAATTCCGCCCGGTAACTCTCCAACACACCTTGCCCTGCCTCCGCCGACGGCTTGGTGGCAGCATATCGGGTAGCAGCGAAAGGAAGGGTCAGCAGCTTCTGTTTGCGCCTTCGCCAACCTTCCACTTGACGCTTCGCGCAACCGCCCCAATCAATCCAAATACGATGCCCAAGCGACACGCCTTGATCAGGGAACCGTAGGAGCATGCAACGGAACGAAGCGTCCAGCCACGACCTTTGGAAACGCGAGGATGAAGAGGGATAACGGAAGAGCAGAGGAGGGAAGGAAGGGTGAAGGTGGTCTGCCAAAGGGGGATTGCTGCGGGAGGGGGGGCAGGGGGCGCGGGGAGCGGGAAGGTAATGTTGTTGTTGTTGCTGTTGTTGATGTTGTTGTTGCTGTTGTTGTGGTTGGTGTGGTTGTTGATGTTATTGTTGTTGTCGTTGTCGTTGTGGTTGTGATTGTGGTTGTGGTTGTGGTTGTGGTTGTGGTTGTTGTTGTTGTTGTTGTGATTGTTGTTGTTGTGATTGTTGTTGCTGTTGTTGTTGTTGAACATTATTTCTTCTTAAGAATAATTATTGTTGGGACCCCTGGTGCACGACCCCCCCGCCGCGCCTAGGCCGCAGCCTCATTTTCATCATTTTCGTGAGGAAGTCTCAGGCAAAACGGGGGCGTCCGGATCCGGTTGTGTTGTTACGATCGGTTTTCCCTTGCAAAAAATAAGCTAAAGTGGACATTTCTTGTTCTAACATAACCAAACTTCAAGAATCCCTTGCAAAAAATAAGGTAAAGTGGACATTCGCGCGCGCAAGACGAAATCCTTCCAAAACCTTAGTTTTCGTAGCGATTTTAACATAAAAACATCAAAAAACCAATGGTTTTTCAAACAAAATGTCAAAATTTCATCCCGCGCGCTCTTGCGGATTCGTAGGAAACCCAACACTTTTTAAACATTTCTGTCAAACGGGCTTTTGCGAGCAACTTTTTCGAACTTCTGCAACAACGGTTGCGCACCTGCCAGGGCCATCATCCCTGTCAAATAATACCATGCGGGACACATTCGTTTTTTCTTCGCGCGCGCACGCCGTCGTCGTCGGCCGCGGGGCCCTGAATAGTAGCCACGGTCGTCCGCATGCCACGAAGTGAAGTGTCCGAACGTCATAGGGCGGGAAGCTGGGTGTGGGTGGTGGCGAAGAGTCGTTTGGAAATTTGGTAGAGCTTGAACCGGCCCCCCCACAAAGTGGGGGTATTGCCCGCCTCCTATGAAAACCCTGGCACTGGTGAGAACGGAGTGTGCGTGCTAGTAATTGTTGTTGTTGTTGAACATTATTATTCTAAAGAATAATTATTGTTGGGCCCCCTGGTGCACGCCCCCCCCGCCGCGCCTAGGCCGCAGCTACATTTTCATCATTTTCGTGAGGAAGCCTCAGGTAAAACGATGTGATCCAGATCCGGTTGTTTTGTTGTAATCCGCTTTTCCCTTGCAAAAAACACTATAAAATGACATTTCTTGTTCTAATATAATCAAATTTCAAGAATCCCTTGCAAAAAATAAGGTAAAGTGGACATTCGCGCGCGCAAGACGAAATCCTTCCAAAACCTTAGTGTTCGCAGCGATTTTAACATAAAAACATCAAAAAACCAATGGTTTTTCAACAAAAAAATTGTCAAAATTTCATCCCGCGCGCTCTTGCGGATTCGTAGGAAACCCAACACTTTTTAAACATTTCTGTCAAACGGGCTTTTGCGAGCAACTTTTTCGAACTTCTGCAACAACGGTTGCGCACCTGCCAGGGCCATCATCCCTGTCAAATAATACCATGCGGGACACATTCGTTTTTTCTTCGCGCGCGCACGCCGTCGTCGTCGGCCGCGGGGCCCTGAATAGTAGCCACGGTCGTCCGCATGCCACGAAGTGAAGTGTCCGAACGTCATAGGGCGGGAAGCTGGGTGTGGGTGGTGGCGAAGAGTCGTTTGGAAATTTGGTAGAGCTTGAACCGGCCCCCCCACAAAGTGGGGGTATTGCCCGCCTCCTATGAAAACCCTGGCACTGGTGAGAACGGAGTGTCCCCAGTCTTAAATGATTGTTGTTGTTGTTGTTGTTGTTGTTGTTGTTGTTGTTGTTGTTGTTGTTGTTGTTGTTTCGTTTGCTTTGCAAGAAATCGGATAAACAAAAATAAGCGGAGGAAGGGCTCGCGCCACCGGCATCTTGCAGGCGATCCCGTTGGATGCCCGCGCGGAGAAGCCGAGCAAATGAAAAGCACGAGTGACCTCTAAACTGGCAAAACATCGCAGGGCCCACCCAAGCCGACCAGGGCAGATGCAGGCGCCCGCGTCGGGGTGCGCGCACCATATAAGCGACAAAAAAAATCAAGGAGCTGAAGCTCGCGCAACGCATGATCAAACGACCACGCTCACAGAGATCCGCAGTCGAATCGGATTGACGCGCGCGTTGGCTACGCTGAAGCAGGCCGGCGCGCGCGACGTTCTGGCGCGCCAAGGCTCAAGCTTCTCACGCATGCAGGACAGCTGTCGGCTTTGTTGAGAAAGCCACGCGCCAGGCCCCAGAGGGGCCGACTACGTTTTGGCTTTGCCAAGGCAGGAACTACTCTGGAGTTTGCGCAGTGGGTGGTTATCTTAGGCCGCGGCCTCCTCACTCCCAGTCCCAGACCGCTATGCCCGCCGACAGTAGGACGTCACACGTCCTGGTGCGGGAGTGGCACGGCTGGTGCGTCCTGAGGATCTGCGGTTGCCGCCTGCAGCGAAGACTTGTTGATCAGCGTGTCGCGGCGGCGGCCCCTGCGACACGCTTTGCCCTGCAAGCTGATGGCGTGCAGCTGTGCTTCGTAGGACGGGGGGCTGGGAAACGCCCGGGACGTTGCAGCCTCGGAGCGTGGACGTGCTCAGCGTATCGTGCCGAAGCGCGGTGGGCCAGCACTGGCGGCACCCCACACGCGAAACGGACGCTCCTGGCCGTACCGTCGGAACGCTGTCGTAAGGAACCCTGGATGAGGAACGGTGCCCCATCTCACCATCGGTGAAACTTCGATTGCCCATAGGAACAACTGAGGAACACCCGAGTAGAACTGAGAAACAATGCAGGAGCACTGAGCCCCTCCCCAACGAAAAGGGTTCCTTCTTCAGCGGCCCGACTGTGGCCCACCTGGATGCCCGCCAAAAATGTTCTGATCACAAAAGCAATGTTCTCAGAACAGAAAGCCGAGGTGTCAAAACAAGACCGCCCTGGCCAGACGTGTTCTCATAATATCCCGTGTGAACCACAACAGGTCCTCAGACCATTCTTCGGTGGGCCTGTAGGCAAGCCAGGACGCGGGCCTCTCGCGCCATCGCCCACGGTGAACGTTTTCGTGTTCGGCGTGTCGACATTGAGCGAAAGGCACGGCGGCTTCCGGATCATATGTGCTGCGACTCGACAGTGGTTGGTCGGTTGGGGCCGGTTGGTAAACGTGTGGTCCTATCGTGCTCTCGGCATCAGTGCCACGACGTTGACAGAAGGTGGAGCCTCTTGCATGATAGTGTCTCGCTCGACCTCGCTGAGCAAGCAAGGGTACAGACAAGGTTGCAGAGTCTTGGCCGGGACTGAAGGGAGGGAGGTGCAGACGGAATGGCGGAGAGGGGGAGAAGAGGAACGAGGGAGGGGAACGTGGGGGATGGATCGAGTGGCGACGCAGGCGCTTCTCCATCAGCGTGTATGATAAGCGGGATTGTAAGTAATGCGTGATCCCTTTTTCTCATCCCCCGTCGCCTCCGCCTCCTCCACCTCCTGCTCCTCCTCCTCATCGTCCAACACCTTTTTCATCTCTTTCTCCAACTTCTCCTCGCAATGCTCCTACACCCTCTCCCCCTCCTACACCCTCTCCCCCTCCTCCTCCTCCTCCTCCTCCTCCTCCTCCTCCTCCTCCTCCTCCTCCTCCTCCTCCTCCACCCCCCCGCCTCCCCCGAGGAGATGCGGCGCGCGAAGGCCAGGAAGCTCGCCTCCAGCGCAATGCTCCATCACGATGTTGACGGCGTCGCCGTCCTGAGGCGCGGGGGCGAGGCGACGCGGGGTGCTTTCGTGGCGCGGGGGATGAGGGCGGATCCCGGGTCGAGGAGAAGGAACAGGATCGAGGATCCAGGAGGAGCTTCGAGGTTCCACGAGGAGGGAGGATCGAGGTACGAGGGTGAGGAGGTGAGAGCAGGAGGAAAGGAGAGCGGCGAGGAGGAAAGGGATGACGAGGGGGGGTGAGGGGAAGACGGAGGCGGGACGAGGGAGAGAGGGAAGAGGAGAAGAGGGACGAAGAGGAGGAGGAGGAGGAGGAGGAAGAGGAGAAGGAGGAGGAGGCATGACGCGGGATTGGGAGGGGAAGAGGAGGAGGACGAGCAGGAGGAGGAGGACGAGGAGTAGGGGGATGATGATGATGATGATGATGATGATGATGAGGAGGAGGAGGAGGAGGAGGAGGAGAAGGAGGAGAAGGAGGAGGAGAACGAGAACGAGGAGGAGGAGGAAGAGGAGGAGGAGGAGGAGTAGGAGTAGGAGTAGGAGTAGGAGGAGGAGGAGGTGGAGGAGGAGGAGGAGGAGGAGGAAAAGACCAACCCCCTGAGGCGCACCGATGTCTTCCTGCTTGCGCCGCACCCTCATTGCGCAAGCGCCCTCACTAAGGCACTGCGCTTCGCGCACAATCGGGGCCGACCCTCCAGGAGCTTTGCCCCCAGTGGCTGGGACTGCAACTGGCGAGTACGGCGATGGTTCAAACTCGAAACAATTAAATCGGCAGCAGCAGTGGTAGCATACGTAGCTTCGGCATTATCGAAAGGGAGCGGAAAGAGATCGAAGCAAGCTCGAAATTCGCTGCAGCCCCACCACACGGGAAGAGAGGGAAAGAGGCGCTTCAGAACAGGAACGACATGAGGACAAACGAAACAATTGAGAAGATCGTCATGACCTGAACATTCGCTTGACGAGAGATCGACGAGACGTATTCACAGCGTTACACACGCATCTCAACATATGGACTCCGATGAAGCACGGAAGCTTGGTACCGACTATCTTCAGGCGGAGGAGGGAGAGGGAGACCTTGTCTTCGGCGAGGCCAGGCCACCAGTATCGCAGCCTGCGACCTATGGCTTCCTGCAAAGAGGACAGCGGAGGAGAAGAGGGAGGAGGAGGAGGAGGAGGAGGAGGAGGAGGAGGAGGAGGAGGAGGAGGAGGAGGAGGAGGAGGAGGAGGAGGATATGGGGGAGGACGAAGAGGAGGAGGAGGAGGAGGAGGAGGAGGAGAAGGGAGAATAATACTAATAGTGCGAATAATGAAAAAAGAATAATACGAAGAAGACGAAGAAGACATAAGATCGATATGTGTTCAAGATCGAAGGTTTTCGGGGGAAGGGGGGGCCCATAGGCTTCCGAAACCGGGGACCACTGGAGGTCTCTGGGGGAGGCCTCTGGAGTGGAGGCCTCTGGAGGTCTTCGGGACGAGGACGAAAGGCTCCCAAAGGGGTTCCAACAAACTTTTGGGGGGGTCCGTATCTGAGTCATGGTACGGGCCATCGTTGCGGCGGAACGCTTCTGCCACGTGGTCTTCGCCGTGGCGATCGTGGTCGGCACTCTGCGGGATAGCGGCACGGAGTCCAGCGGCATGCGCCAGAAAGGTACGATGATGAGCCAATCGTGGGATCTCCAAGGTTGCGGGCGGAGGCTCCGGAGGAGGACGGGGAGGATGGGGCAGGTATGGGACTGCCGATGAGTACACAAGATGAGATCAGACCGCAACTCGTGAGGAGAGAGCTGAATGCCAGTCCACCTCTGACACGTGTGCTGGACGTGCACCTGGCGCCCGAGTCGAGCGCCATTTTACCCGCCGCCGCGAGCCCGCCGCGCAGGAGAAGCGCTCCCATCGGGTGGCCTTGCCAGCACTGCTGTGCAAGCGTGGCGCCTCTGGGTGTGTGAATGGGGAAACCAAAAGGTACAGTCGGGGCCTTGACCTAAGGAACCCTAAATAAGGAACGAGGCCCCTTTTTTCCATAAGTTAACCCTCGATTTCCAGTCGAGAACACAAGGAAAGCCTGAGGCAAGCTGTGAAACACTCATGGAACGCGGAGCCCCTCCCCAACGACAAGGGTTCCTTCTTCAGGGCCCCGACTGTACCACAACCGCTGCGCCCCAGACCTCTCCCAGGGTGCATTCTGACCAGGGTTCCGAGGCGAGCCCAGCGGTGGCGACGAGGGCCTCCCGGGAGGCCCAAGATGGGGCACGCGGACGAGGGGTACCAGCATGGGCACCTTCTCCTTCTCCCGAAGGATTGCAAAAAAAAAAACCGGATGTTTGCAATCCTTTTTTTGCAATCCTTCGTTTGTTTGCAATCCTTCGTTTTTTTTGCAATCTGTCGTTTTTTTTGCAATCCCTCTTTTTTTTTGCAATCCTTTCTTTGCAATCCAGGGTTTTTGTTTTGCAAAGCCGCCGCGCAGGAGGAGGAGCGGGAACAGTCCCCGTGGCCGCCTCCCGCGGACAGGGAGCCCACACAGGACGTACGCGCCCCACTATGTACACGAACACGGCCCCTCGATCCGCGAGACCGGCCGCGTTAACCGAACATTTGCGCAATGCGTCCTCTCGAAACCAGCGTGGATTCATGTACATGTACGTCCTTCTTTCGCTCCTGAGCGGACGAGGCGCGGCGAGGCGCGCCGCCGCTGTGGGCGCTTCGCCCCGCGCGCCCCGCCTGCCCGTGTGCCGCGACAGGCCGAGCCTCAGGGGGCCGCACGCACGCCGTCGGGCCTCGGCGCCCCGTGGAGCCTCGCGAGCGCTCTCGGCCTTCGCTCCGCCGATCGGCGGGCGAGCGGAGGTGCGGAAGCGACGGGAGGGGGGGGAAGGCGATGGGCCTGTCTTCCACCACCACCACCATAAGTTGGAGGGTGAGGGGGTCCTCTTCCTCCTCCTCCTCCTCCTCCTCCTCTTCGTCGTCGTCGTCCTCCTCCTCCTCCAGCTTATGGTGGTGGTGGTGGAAAACAGGCCCATCAGAAGGCGATCTCAGAGGTCGGGCGGGTGGTCGCGGGGGGGGTGGCGGTCCGTGGGGGGCGGAGAAAAAAGGGCCAAGGAGCCCTTTCAAGGCCCCTTTCGGAACCAGCTGGGGCCCGAACGGGGCCCTGAATGAAGGGCCCCCTGTGAGGCCTTGTTCTTCACCCCCCCCCCCCAATGAAGGTCACCCCCCATTGTCACCCGCTCGAAGAAGGCGGCGGGATTCTGAGAAGGCCTCTGGCCTTCGGAGAAATTTTCTGCGTCTTCGGGGAAGGCCTGGGAACTTCTCAGGGTGCCCCGAGCCTTCTGAGAAGACCGAGTACTGATCGACTGCAGAATTCATTGACCCCAAAATTGACTCGCCTATCGAGTCCACCTTTTTGGACGAAAGAACTATTTGGGGTTAAATCAATTCTGTAGTCGTTCCCCTACACGTAACCTTCGCTCACCAACGCCGAGCGGATTCGCGCAGGCGCCCACACAACGCCGTGCGTGCATCACGGTGGGAATTGTTGGGCGCGCGAACTATCTCGGATAGGCCTGGTCCAAATAAGGCCCTGGATGGTGTCCCCAGGAAAACCCTGGAACCGCGAATCACCTCCTGTTTCAAGAGAGCATTCCGTAATACATACATGCGCACACCTATACGTATATACACACGCCAGACTGCATGTTCGCTTCGCGCTACGCACGTTGGCCATTCAAAATCGGCGCGCAATAGAGAGAGAGAGAGAGCAAGAGAGAGAGAGAGAGAGAAAAAAGAGAGAGAGAGAGAGAGAAGGCGAGAAAAAGAGAGAGAGAGAGAGAGAGAGAAGGAGAGATATAGAGGAAACCTTCAAGGACAACTGTTTCTTGTTGCCGTAAGCACCTGCGTTGTTACAACGTGGGTGTACATATATGAGAGAGCGTGATCCACCGCCGCTTTACTGTGGAAAATTGCTAACCTTTTCCTCCGGAACCCGGGGGTCCCCCCCCCCCCCCCGCCCTCCGAAAATCCCCCCTCCCCCCCTGCTGGAACCCCCCCCTCCCTCCCCCGGCAAACCTCCCCCTCCCCTAACCCCTTCCCCCCCCCTCTCCCCCTCGAAAACCGGGGGGGGTCACTACCGGTTCGAACCCCTCCCCACCCCCCCACCCCCCTCCGGATCCGGAAAACCGGGGGGGGGGTCACTACCGGTTCGAACCCCCCCCCCCCCTCGAAAACCGGAGGGGGATCACTACCGGTTCGAACCCCTCCCCACCCCCCCACTCACCGCCAGCAAACGACTCCCGGTCCCTACCACCGTCCGCATCACATCCTCCACTGTTGTTCCCAGCACCACTGTCCTCACCACCACTGTCCCCCACTGTGTCCCCACCAGTGCCCCCACCACTGTCGCACTGTCCCCACTGTCCCCACCACTGTTCCCACCACGGTTCCACTCTCCCCACTGTCTCCACGGCCCCAACCACTGCCCGACTATCCCCACTGTCCCCACTGTCCCACTGACTCTGCCGCTGTCCCACTGAGCTGTCCCACTGTTCCCACCACTGTCCCCACTGTCCCCACCACTGTCACCACTGTACCTCTGTCCCATTGTCCCACCGCCGTCCTCGCCACCGCCTTCACCACTGTCCCCACTACCATTGTACCCTCCACTGTCCCAATGTTTCCACCTCATTCCCACTGTGCCCACACCACTGTCCCCACCACCACCGTCACCACCACTGTCCACTGTCCCCCCTGTTCCCACCATTGTCCCCACCACTGTCCCCACCACTACCGGCCCTCTACTGTCCCACTGTCCCACTGTCCCCACCACTGTCCCGCTGTCCCCTCACCACTGTCCCACCAACACCGTCCCCACCTCTGTCCGCACCCCCACTCGGTTTTCGAGGGGGGGGGGGGGGGTTCGAACCGGTAGTGACCCCCCCCCCTTTTCATGATGAGCTGGGGGGGGGGGGAGGGGTTCGAACCGGTAGTGACCCCCCCGGTTTTCCGGAGGGGGGGGGGGGGGGGGGAGGGGTTCGAACCGGTAGTGCCCC